GCTAGGCTGGCTTTGGCATCTCAGCCAGAATTGCTGATGGAGAGGTGGAAGAGCCCTGGGATGGTCTGGCCATGGAGATGGTCAGCCCAGGGATGGTGCTGGACAGCTGGGGATGGTGATAGAGAGCCCAGGATGGTGATGGACAGCCCCTGTCCAGGTGTCCATGGTGATGCACAGCCCCTGTCCAGGTGTCTATGGTGATGGACAGACAGGTGTCCATGGTGGTGGACAGCCCCTGTCCAGATGTCTATGGTGATGGACAGCCAGGTGTCCATGGTGATGCACAGCCCCTGTCCAGGTGTCCATGGTGGCACTCAGGGCTGGGGCAGGAGGAGCTGTGCTGATGGGGAGCCAGGGAAGGGGAGCTGGGCGTTGCTATTTTCACTCACCACATCCTCTGTCAGTTTCTAAGAAGTGCTGGCGGATTCCTGGTAAGAGATTTCGGGTGTGACAATGTCCCATGAGGTGCAAACTGCCACCGGGCTGAGCCGGGCTGTGTCCGAGTGGGAGTTTCCTCCTCTGCCTGCAGCTCGTGGGGGAAAAACCAGAGCAGGGTTTGCATTTGTGGCAAGTGCTGCTGCTGCTGGCAGCCCCCTGTGCCTTCCTGTGCGTGTCCCCCAGCTCAGGGTCCCCTGGGGGGTGTCACAGAGGGGACAGGAGGGTGAAAACCTCGTGAGAAGCTCGGTAGCCACAGCACCGTTCTCCCAGCGTGGGTGGGAGGGGTGTAGGGTGGATTTTGGGTCAGGGAGGGTCCTGCTGCCTCGGGGGCATCCAGCAGAATTCCGGCTCTGCTGCAGGAACACCCCGAGCTCTGGGAAAGCTGGGCTGGAGCTGGAGGGGGATCCAAGGACAGCCGTGTTTTTGGGATGGGGGAAGTTTGGGCTGTGCGGAGCTGCCCTGCCCTTGCCACGCTGCCGAAGCCACACCCTGGCTCCGGGACTTGGGGAAGCTCTGCTGGACACAGCATTCCTGCAGAATGGGGTCAGCAGGGAGATGGGAGGAGGACAACCAGAGTGTGGGGCTTTGCCTGGGGAGGGACAAGCTGATGGAGAAAAATCTCCTTTTTCTGGAAAAAGTGCTCTGAGGGGTCAGAAGCGCAGCCCAGCAGCTGCTCTGAGCTTTTCCTAAAGCTCCCAGCCCTGAGGAGCAGGGATCTGATGCCTCCTGTGTGTTTCCCTGTTCCAGGACTGCCTGAAGGCCTGTCAGGAGCAGATCGAGGCGGCCTTAGCCGAGAGCCTGAAGCAGGCATCCCAATCCCAGCAGGAATTCAGCTCCAAGACGGCGGCGTACGGGGGCAGCCAGCCCACGAGCACCCCCACGGACGTCACCGACGTCAACCTGTGACCAACTGCCCTTCCCCAGAACTCCGGCCCCTCCCTGGACACCCCCAGCTCGCTGCATCCCCCCTGCCCACCCAGCACCTCCGAGGGGCCCTTCCCAGGCTGGGAATGTGGAGCGGGATCCGAGCTCGGAGCTGCTGCAGGTGGCCGGGGGGGAGTGACCGAGGTGGTGCCAAGCCACAGGAATGCTGGGGACAGGGAGCAGGAGCCTGGATGAATTTGGAATTGTTTCTGTGTTGGTGTTCCCTGGCTCTTTGGGCTGTTGACGGTGACTTCAGCCCTGTGAGGGACAAAAATCATGGAGAGCCAGCCCTGCAGGACCCCAATCCTCGTCACCGCCAGCTCCTGCGGGGCTCGTGGAGCAGCTGCTTGGTGGCCCCTCGGTCCCCATTGCTTCGTGCCACATTCCCACAGCTCCTGGGGAAGTCGTGCAGCTGCTTCTGCTTGGAGAGGACCTGTGGGGCTTGTTTGTTTTTGCTGTTGGATGTGGGATTTTGGGGACGCGCTCCCCGTCCGTGCCTTGGGAGGAGTTTGGGGTCGGGCGCCGTCCCCTCGGCTTTTCCGCCGGCCCACGGAGGCTGCTTAATTTATTGTTCACTGCTGGGAAATGGGGAGGGAGGAGAGCTGGGATTCCTCAGGGTGAGGTGCCACTCTCCTCTCCTTCCCAAAAATGTGCCTTCCCCCTTCGCCCCTTCCCTGGCTCCCTGGGCAGTGGGAGACTCTCCTGGGAGGCTGCTGGGTCCTTTGGTAGCTTAGGCATCAGACTAGGATTTAAGGAAAACCTTTGAATGTGCTGCTATAGTCTGGGATGCATCTCCACTCTTTCCAGGGCAGGGATTTCGGATTACGCTCAGGAGGGGGCTGTGTTCATCCACGTGGATCTGAGCTGCCTCCTGAGAGGGTGGAAAAACTTTGCTGCGCACTTGAGTTGGAAAAGCAATTACTGCATTTTTGTATTGTTGTTGTTGATCCTGTTAGTTTTTTATAAAAATTGTTGTAAAACAGGGAAAAAAAAAAAAAATAATGCTGCTTTTCTATGAGAAAACCATTACAGAGTGGAATTAACCAGGAAAAGCCAGAGACTCCACAGCGATGGGAGGCAGATGGTGCTGCTGCCTGGGGAACCTGTGGACATGTGGCTGTTGTCCTCCCGTGGGGGATGTGGAAAATGAGGTAGAAATCTTCCTTTTTGGATGCCACCAGCCACAAAAAAAATCAGGCGGAAAAAGGTGGGGCTGCTGCTCCTCCCTGAGCCTGCCTGGTCCGGAAACCCACGGAGCCGCTGCCTCCTGCGAGCAGGAGGGCTGGGACAGAGCCTGGCTGTGCAAAAGGAAATGTGTTTCTTTTATATATATATATAAATGAGTTTTTAATTTAAGAGTAAACTGGTTTTGGTGTTCACTCGCACGAGTCCCGCTGCTGGGAGAGCCAGAGAACCCCGTGATGTTGCAATAAAATATTTTAAACAAAAAAAAAAACAACCCAGTGGCTCGAGGGTTTCCCTGCGCCGTTCCCAAGGCTCAGATCTTTCCCTGGTGCTCCCTTGGGAGCTCTAGCCCTGCTTTTCCCAGGATGGAACAGGGCAGGCAGGACGCTGAGGGACACCCAGGGCAGCTCGGGGATGGTGATGGAGTCAGACACCTTCCTGCAGGTGAGGCACTGCCGGAGCACCTTCTTCCCAGCAGGCTGGAGGGTGGTGGGCACTGGAGCAGCTCAGGTGGGGACAGGAGTGCCAGGTGCTCTGTGCCAACCCAGGCTCCCTCTTGTGCCACCAGCTTTTGGCTTTAAGAGAAAATGGGGAAGTCACGGAAGAGGCAGTGCTGTGTGGGGACCATGGGAGGTGACAGGAGGCTGCTGCCCTTGGCACAGCCCAGGGTGCAGCGGGGGCTCCTCTCCGTGGCCCAAAGCTGCAAGGCACAGGCCTGGCAGTGGCAGCAGGTCCCAGGGAAGTGCAGCCTCCTGGGAAAGTCCCCCCTGGGTTTTGCAGCAGAGGTGGCACTTGGGCACAGTGCCAGGAGCAGGCCAGGCAGGTGCCCTCATGGCCAGGTGAGGATGGTGGCACTGTGGCTTCAGGAATTCAACCCTGAGGAGCTTTGAGTGTTTGGGAAAACCCCTGGACAAGGAGCTCCAGAAGCTGGTGGGGACAGGGACAGGCTGGGACTAAGCTGGGCAGACCCAGGAGCCCTGACTGGCTGACACAGCTCTGGTTTTATTTCTGAGTACAGGGGTAAGCCAAAGTGTCCCAGTGCTGGTGGCACCGGGCTCCTGGGTGGGACAGGGGCTGCACAGGGTGCTCAGTGCAGCTCTGTGGGCACAGTCTGCTCCCAGTGAGTGATCCAGGAAGGATGCTCCTGATCCAGGATCCCAGCAGCGTCCCGAGGGCAGGCCAGGCTCCAGCATTTCCCTGCTCATTCCATGGCCACTGGCTGCTCCCCTTCCACGTCCCTCGTCTTGGAGTTCATCAGCTCGCGGCGGATCTCCGGCGAGATCTGCGGGTGGCTGTGGAACTTGAGCAGCTCCAGCAGGGCCTCCTTCTGCTCCGAGGACAGGTCCTCCTTGTAGCGCTGGGCCAAGGCCAGGAAGCTCTGGTGCCACAGCACGGGCAGGAGCCGCTGGTCCGTGCGGAAGGCCAGGAAGTGGAAGACCAGAGCGTCAAGCACACGGAAGGGCAGCGCGTACTTCTTGTCGATGAGCAGGCGCAGGAAGATGCTGTTGGCACCGCTGTACTGCATCTCAGCCAGCTTCAGCAGCGCCGCACTGCAGGACAGGGACAGCTCAGGGGACAGGGCCATGGGGACACAGAGAGGTCAGGGGACAGAGCCATGGGGTCACAGAGAGGTCAGGGGACAGTGGACAGGGCCATGGGGACACAGAGAGGTCAGGGGACAGAGCCATGGGGTCACAGAGAGGTCAGGGGACAGTGGACAGGGCCATGGGGACACAGAGAGGTCAGGGGACAGGGCCATGGGGTCACAGAGAGGTGAGGGGACAGTGGACAGGGCCACGGGGACACAGAGAGGTCAGGGGATAGGGGACAGGGCCATGGGGACACAGAGAGGTGAGGGGACAGTGGACAGGGCCACAGGGACACAGAGAGGTGAGGGGTCATGGCATGAAGCCACAGGGACACAGGAGGGGGTTTGGGGCCAGGGGACAGAGCCATGGGAACACAGAAAGGGGTGGGGGGCCAGGGGGAGCCAGGCTGGAGCCATGGGGACCAAGGGCAGAGCCACAGGGACCAGGAAGAGACTTAGGGTCAGGGCATGGAGCCATGGGAACTGAGGGACAGGCATGGGGGTCTCAGGGTCAGGGGACAGAGCCATGGGGACAGAAGAACGGGCACAGGGTCAGGGGGTGCTGGGTTGAAGTCATGGGGACCAAGGAATGGACATGAGAGGGACCAGGCTACAGCCACAGTGAACAAGGATGGAGGGGCAACCAGACGAGCCATGGAGCACCAGGCATTCAGGCACAAAGCTGAGCCTTGAATCTCAACCCCAGAGGGAGCTGAGCAACCCCTCACCACCTCCCAGGGGCTGGAGAGGCTGAGGGATGGATCCAAGGCACTTCCCAGGGTCCCTGGAGGAGAAGCTGCTCCCCCTGAGCCCCTCAGGGCCTCACCTGGAGTGCAGGACGGGGATGGAGCACTTGCTGAGGATGCTGCCGATGATGATGGCCTCCCTGAGCGTGCACGTGCCGGACTCACACAGCGGGATGAGGATCCCTGGGAATGGGGACAGTCAGGCACCGACCACCTTCATCCACAGGCAGAGCCCTGGGGCTCAGCCCCTTCTCCCCGAGCCCAGGAAATCATCACTCTCGCAGCAGCAGCTGGAGGGTCCCTGCCACGCAACAGCCCCTCAGGTACCCAGCCAAGCCCCAGAGGGGACCCTGCAGGACCCCTACCCTTGAACCAGGCCGCTGGCTTGAACAGAGCCTTCTTCAGAGCCATGTACAGGTGGAAGTTGAGCCGTTTGTACTCGGCAATGTCGTCCCGGATCCGCGGCAGCAGCACCAGGTTGTAGAACCGCTGGGCCATCCTCTCCTTCAGGTTGGAGGAAAATATCCTGGCAACAGCAAAGCATGAAGGGATGGATGAGGAAAGGAGGCCAAACAGGGGGAAAAAAACCCCCCAAAAATCCCATGCTAGAGGGTCCCTGAGGTGACCTTACCTGGTGGCCTGGTACATGGCAGCAGCTGTCCACGTCTCTGGCTCAGTGATGTAGAGGATCTGCTCCCAATTGGACAAGGCAGGAATGATTTTAAACGCCTTGGGGAGCTTCCCACTCCTGTACTTGGACAGCACCTTCAAAGACAGGGACACGGGCCAGGACATGACAGGGGGCAGTGACAGGAGGGACATGAGCGCGTTGTCCCATCCCTCAGCACCTCAGGGTGGTGGCTGCGGGTTGGGCTGCTCCAGCCTCACCTCCCTGACACCCCTGTAGACCTCCAGGACACGGGGGTCGAGCTGGGGCATGGGGCAGCCTGAGAGCTCCGACAGCGCCGTCTCCACCTCCGTCTGCTTCTCCGTGATCTTCTCCATAATGATATCGGCCAGGGTGCGCCTGCGGCCGGCACGGGACACGGTCACTGGGGGACCAGGGAGGGGACAGGGGCGAGTCGGGGGCTGACAAGGGACGGGGGCGAGCTGGGATCTGTGCAGGGCCGACACGGGACCAGGGGGAGAATCGGGGGTCGCCGGGGGATGACACGATGGGGGTGAATTGGGGGTTGATGTGGGACAGGGATTGAGTCAGGGGCTGGGACAGGACGAGGGGTGAGTTGGGGGTCGCACGGTGCCGACACCGGACAGAGCTCAGTCGGGGTCCGTGCAGGGCGGCGGCCCCTGCCCCGGTGCAGCCCCCTCCTCACCTCAGCGGCGGATTCTTGTTCATGAACATCTCGATGGCTTTCTCGTCCTCGGGGTCCACCTCCACCTCCCCGCCGTAATCCCCGCCCCGTCCCGCGGCCGTCGCCGCCTTCTCCAGCGAGGGCCATTCCTCATCATCCTCCGAGTCCGAACCGGGACCTGCGGGGAGCGGCGCTGCCTCAGCCCGGGGCCAAGCACGCTCGGGGGTCCCGGAGCGTGCCAGGGGTTACCGGGGCTCACCGAGAACCGCGCTGCGCTGCCGGGGGGCTGCGGGCGCTCCGGGGCCGTGCTCGGCCTCCAGCTCCTCCTGCTGCCGCCGCGCCTGCTCCAGGATGCGCCGGGACAGCCGCGCGTCCACGAACCCGTCCCCGCCGCCATCCCCGTCCTGCTCCTCCGGGGCCCCGCGCTTCGCCCGCGCCCGCGGAGCCGCGTCCTGCAGGATCTGCTCGGCCAAGGGCAGCGCCGGGGCCGCGCCGGAGCCCCGCGCCCGCCGGGCCTTGGGCATCGCGCCGGAACCGGGGAACCACCGGCTCCGGACCGGGGAGACACGTGGGGTCTGTCCCCGCCTTTTCCGGGGCGGCTCCGCCTCTTCCCGGTGCCTCTGGCCCCGCCCGTTCCGGTGGTGGCACCGGCACCATGGGGGTCACCTGGTGAGAGCGGGGGCTCCGGGACGGGGGGGACGGCACCGGGAGCGGCTCCTGGAGTGGGGGGCGGCACTGGGATGGGCTCCTGGAATGAGGGGCGGACCCGGGAGGGCTTTGGGCGGGGACAGCCCTGGGGACACGGAGAGAATGTCCGGGTGGAGGGTGCGGAGCAGCCCCGGGGACACGGGGAGAGTGTCCGGGTGGAGGGTGCGGAGCAGCCCCGGGGACACGGGGAGAGTGTCCGGGTGGAGGGTGCGGAGCAGCCCCGGGGACACGGGCAGGGCCGGGGGCGCGGGCGGCGGTGCCCCGGTGGGTCCGTGAGCCCCGGGCCGTGTCGCAGCGTGTCGCAGGTGCCGGTGGCCGAGGGTAAGAGCGTGCAGCAGACCGTGGAGCTGCTGGCCCGGCGGCTGGAGGCGCTGGGCGCGGACAAGCAGGGGACGTTCGGCGTGGACTGCGAGACCTATCACACCGCGGCCGCCCTCGGCACACAGGGTCAGCAGGGCCGGGGGGCAACGGGGCCAGCCCCTCTCCAAGCTCCTCTTTCCCTTTTCCTTCCTGTGCTTTTCCTCCTTTTTCTTTTCTCCCCCTTCTCCTTCCCCACCTTACCTGGAGGTGTGGAGGAGGCTCCTGGATCTGATGCTGGTTGATGTGGTTGAGGGGTTACAGTGGCAGCGCTGGGCTGAGGGTTGGACTGGCTGATCCTGAAAGTCTCTTCCAACTTTCATTAGTCTATGATTCTACAATTCCTTCTTTCCTTTCTCCTTTTCCCTTTTCCTTTCCCCTCTTCTTGTCCTTTTTTCCTGTTTCTTTCCCTTCATCTTCCTCCCCTTGGGTGCCCACATCCCTTTCAAGCACTGATTTATGTGATGTTTACCACACTGCACTGAGCCCCTGCAGCCCCAGCTCTGCTCAGCTCTGCTCCCGGCCAGACCCATTGGAATCTTCCAGAGCAGCATTTTCCTGCTTTTTTGGCAGCTGGAGCTTGGAGGAGAGGCAGAGCCCATCTCCCTCCATGCCCGTGGGCAGTGGGTGGGAGGTGGGTGCTCCTGGGGTTCTCCTGTCACCTCCCCTTGAGCCATGCTGGTGTTTTATCCTGGTCCTGCCGAGGATTTCTTTCTCCCCGTGAATCTCCAGAAAGAAATCCAAGCTCTTCCCTGAATGGATACCACAATAAACACGTGAGGATCTGGAATTACAGGCAGGAGGAGGAGCTGCTTTAAGGCAGGAATATTGGTTTTCCAGCCCCACTCCCTCGCTGTCGTTCCAGGGCAGACAGGGAAGCTGATGTACGTCATGCACAACACCGAGTACCCCCTGAGCTGCTTCGCCCTCTTCGAGAACGGGCCCTGCCTGGTGGCTGATGCCAACTTTGACACCCTCATGGTGAAGCTCAAGGGCTTCTTCCAGAACGCCAAGGCCAACAAGATCGAGAGCCGTGGCACCCGCTACCAGTACTGCGACTTCCTGGTGAAGCTGGGCACGGTCACCATGGGCCCCAGCGCCAGGGGCATATCCGTGGAGGTGAGAGCCATTTCAGAAGGGTGGGGAATGCATGGATAGGCGGGGAAATCCCATGGGAGAAGCTGGAGAAGGAAGGTTTAGGTGTGATCTAATTGAGAGTGTCTGAAGTGAGCCAACAGGGAAGATGGAGGGAGATGTTTTATTTATAAGGGCCTGGAGTGTCAGGAAAAGTGGGAATGGCTTCACGCTGCCAGAGGGCAGGGACAGATGGGATATTGCGAAGAAATTCTTCCCTGTGAGGGTGGGAAAGCCATGGAATAAATTTCCCAGAGAAGCTGTGGCTGTCCCTGGATCCCTGCAAGTGTCCAAGGCTGGGTTGGGCACTGGGGCTTGGAGAAGCCTGGGACAGTGGGAGGTGTCCCTGCCCTGGATGAGCTTTAAGGTCCCATCCCCAAACCATTCCATGATTCTGTAATTCCACGTTCTGTCTGTGTCCCAGTTGTTTTGCTGGTGCAGGAGGCAGGTTTGGATCTCCTCTCCCAAGGTTTAATCCAGGCAGGTGCTCTGGGGCTGTCCCTGCACAGGGAATCCCTGCAGGAATGCCATCCAGATAAAAAGCTGATTAAATTCCAGCTGCACAACACGAGCAGCATCCCTCAGGATGGCCAAGGGGATAAAACAACCTTTCCGGTGCTAATTCCCTACTGATTTGGGCCTTGCTGTCCTTCCCTTTGCATTTTACCTTCCCTTCCCTTTGGAAAGGGTCCTCTTGCACGTTCCCAACATGTTCTGTCTCATTTATATTTATCCATCCTTGTTAGACGGTGAATATTTTGGGGTGTTTCCATGAAAAGCTTTCCCTGCATGAAGGCTCCAGGGCTGTGGGATGTGTTCCCAGATGGAATTTTGCCTCTGCTATCACCTCCAGGGGCTCTGGGGTGTATTCTCAGGTGGAATTCTGCCCCATCAGCAGCTCCAGGGCTGTGGGATGTGTTCCCAGGTGGAATTCTGCCCCTGCTGTCACCTCCAGGGGCTCTGGGGTGTGTTCCCAGGTGGAATACTGTCCTTCCTGCCAGCTCCAGGGGTCTGGGGTATATTCCCATGTGTAATTCTGCCCCTGCCACCAGTTCCAAGGCTGTTTCCCAGATGGAATAGTGCCCCTTCCAGCTCCAGGGCTGCTTCCCAGGTGGAATAGTGCCCAGCTCTATGTGTTCCCAAGTGGAATTCTGCCCCTATCAGCAGCTCTGTGGTGTCTGAGGTGTGTTCCCAGGTGGAATTCTGCCCCTGCCACCAGCTCCAGGGCTGTGGGATGTGTTCCCAGGTGGAATACTGTCCCTGTGTGATTGCCAACGACTGCTGGAACCTGCTGATGGAGTTCATGCAGAGCTTCATGGGCAGCCACACGCCCGGGATCCCGTCGGTGTTCGGCTCCAAGCATGACAGCGCCTACAGCCCCGGGGACACCATGGTGCAGTACATGGAGCTCTTCAACAAGATCCGCAAGCAGCAGCAGGTGCCCGTGGCTGGAATCAGGTGAACAGCATTCCCTGGAGCTCCTGGACTGGATCAGGAATCCCTCCAGAGTGTGGCACAGGAGGCAGCCCCAGGATTTTTTTCCCTTCTTGATTTTTCCCATTTCTAAGTTTTCCGATGCCGTGTGTAATTCTGGGTGTCCTCCATGGTTTGGGATTATTGGATCTGTGGTTCTTTGGACAGTGTTTTGTGCAGGGAATCACTGTTTATCCACAGGGAAAAGAGAAATTCCAGCCAAAAGCAAGGGCAGAGCTTCTGTGACTACAAACAGCTACAGGAGAAATCTCTTAAATTTATATTTTTTTATATGCACATTGGTGTTTTGTTGTATTTCATGCCAATAAAACACTGGATTTTGGGAGGAGGAGTTGTCCCTGCACAGTGAGGGTTGTGCTGGTTTGTGTTGTTTATTTACAGACACTTCCCTTGGATCTGCTTCAAGAGCTTTATGCCCCCAAAGCAAACATTTCCCTGTGAAAAAAATCCAGGATTTCTTGCATTTTCCTGTTCCTGGCACATTCTTACCTTGCCTTCATCCTCTGTAGCTGATGGGAATGTCAAAATCTGCTGGCTCTCTATGAAGGCTCTGGATAAATTAAAAAATAAAATGAACGAGCCTGGCAGGAGCTTTTTCAGTCACTGAGAAAATTCCAGCAGCTTTATCCCATTGTTTTTAAGGTAGGTAATAAATATCCTGTCCCTGCACACCATTTGAGGAATCCTGATGGCTTCAGATTCAATGGAATAAGGAAGGATTTTGGCACTACCAGCCAAAAATTAATTTTAAGACATAATGATACCTCTTCAATATATTTTTTTTCCTTCATATTCCTGGGAAGGCACCAGCATTCCAGAAAAAATATAATTGGTTCCTTGCCCGTACGAGTCTGAGGAGCATAGAAAACAGAAATAATTTATCTTGGAAAGGTTTTCTTTCTGAAGCAAAAAGGAAAAAAACCAGCTGATTGGTGGCCTGATTTTATAATATGATTTAATCATTCTTACCTGCACACCTAATCAACTGTTAGAGTGCTCAGAGCTTTTAGTTGTGAGCCTTTAATAAATTTAATCAGCACAGGCCCCAGAAAGAGGTGGTTCATGAGCCCTAAGAAATGGCACAATGTCCCTTAAGTGTGGTAGAATGCTGAATATACTGAATTTTTTGCACCTTTTAGCCCCAAGTTCATGACTTGTGTGGGACAGTTCAGTGGTGAAAATTCACCTAGTTCAACTGGGAAAACTTACGGGAAAAAAGTAGGATTTGTAGGGATGGTTATCCCTGTCCTGTTTCCCATTACAAGCCTTACAGTTAAAAAAAAACCCCAAAACCCTCTTAATGAGCAGATTAGTCACGGTGAATGTTGGTAATGCTTTGTTAATTCCCAAGGCTGCTCCAGAATCGGAGATGTCAAAACTCTGCTCGTGTGCCTAAAAAACATGGAAATGTGTGCTGGGATCCCTGGGGATTGCTGGGGTTTTATTAATACATTGTGCTGTTCCTGGAGCTCGAAAAAGGGAGCCCTGGAGCCACGTTCTGCCTTTCATTAACCCCTTGACGTCAGTGGGTTTCTAGAGACGTGAGGATGAGGAGGATTTAGTCCTTTATGTCCCAGCCAAGCCTGTTGATCGTGGATCCTTTTTTTTTTCTCTGCTTCTGCACCTCTCAAAATCTCCGTCAGTGTTGTTTCATTCCCTGAACTGAAGCCTGACCAAGAGGGAGCAGGGGTTTTGGGAATGAAGGCCTCAGCCTTGCATGGTTTATAAATAAATATTTATATATATTTATAAATATTATTATTTATTTATACAGATGATATATAAATAATACATTACTTTATACAGACATAAATATATATACTATTAATAATTATCATATCTAACTTGTATAATATATAACAGTAATAATATTTATCATAATAATATAAAAATTAGTTCTATATTATATATAATTAAGGTTTATACAGGTATAAATATATATATAAATATTATATATTTATACAGGTGATAATATAAATAATAATTTATTTATTTATACAGGTGATGTTATCAGGGTCATGAGTGGTTCAGTGGCAGAGCCAGTCTTGCTGCCACCCCAGGGGATTTTTGGGGCTTTTGTTCTGTTGTGCTGTGGCATTTTTTTAATCTCACAAGTGAGTGTGGCTCATTACTCTCCAATTTTAATTTAGATGTTGCAGGCTCATTGCAGCTGTGCCAGTGTGGATTTCTGTGCAGGCACAGGGTCAAAGTGGGCCAGGCACTGGTGCCACCATCGCCTTGGGGTCTCTTGTCACCTCAGGGACCATGTGGGGTATGACCCCCTTAATCTCAGAGCCCCCATCTCAGCTTCTCCATCACCTCATGGTCCCCACAGCCCCACTTGGACCCTTCCCATCGCCTCAGAGACCCTCTGGGGTGTCCCCACATCACCTCAGGGTCCCCACAGCCCCACTTGGACCCTTCCCATCGCCTCAGAGACCCTCTGGGGTGTCCCCACATCACCTCAGGGTCCCCACAGCCCCACTTGGACCCTTCCCATCGCCTCAGAGACCCTTTAGGGTGACCCCACATCACCTCAGGGTCTTCCACAGCCCCCCCCCCCCTTGGCCCTTCCGTCACCTCAGGGACCCTTTAAGGTGACCCCAAATCCCCTCAGGGTCTTCACCACCTCAGAACACCTTTGCCTCCCCCCCTCGCCTCAGGGCTCCCCTGGGGTGCCCCCTCATCCCCTCAGGATCTCCATCTCAAGGTATCCATCACCTCAGAGCCCTCACAGCCTCCCCCTTGTGCCCCCCATCACCTCAGGGACCGCCGTGGGGTGCGCCCCCCCGTCACCTCAGCACCCCCATCACCTCAGGGCCCCCGTGGGGTACCTCCCAGCCCACGCCACCCCCTCGGGGGCCCCCGCGCCGCCCTTTTAAGAGCCTCTTTGTCTCCGAGACACCCTTATTTACCCTCCCGTGCCTCAACCGAACTTCGGCCCCGCGATTCACAAAGCCCGGTACGTCACGGCCGGGGGCGGGACTCGAACCCGCGCCGACCCGCCCCCCCCGGCGCCCATTGAACAGCGCCCCCTGCCGGCTGCGCAGACTCCGTACGCCCCGACACCGCTCTGCCCGCGGCGGCGTACGCTACGCCAGCGGGGTGCGTACTCTACGGTCACAGCGTAAATACCCGCGGTCTTAGCCTGTGTGCAGCGCTACGCAATTGGAGTAAGCGGCGGAGAGGGAGGCGGGTGCTGGCGTTGAGTGACGCGAACTGCAGCCAATGGACTGGCGGGGCGGGGCGCGGCGGCCAATGGGCGGGGAGGGGGCGTGGTCGGCCGGGGCGTCTCGCGCTGGGTGACAGCTCGCGCGTGCTGGTGATGGCGGTAAATAAAGGGGACGGGGGGGCGAAGGGGGGGGGACACACGGGACGCGACCCCTCCTGAGGACAGAGAGGGAGAGAGGGGTGGGGGAAAATGGGGGCTGAGGAGGAGGAGAGGAGGGGTCTTTGCTGCTCCCCCCTCAAAGGGACCCCCCCTCTCCGTGGTGCGGTTGTGGGGCTGAGGCGGACCCCGTTACCCCCCCCCCCCCCCCCCCCCC